TCATGCATTCTTTGTCTAAATGAATCCCATACATTACGCTCATGTCCAAAATTTAGAACTCTTTCGTCTGAAAAAAGATTTGAAGCGGCTAAAAACAGGGTTGTGGGTTAAATTGTCTCTCTGTAGGACATTCCGTCAAGAATTGTGCCAGTAGTAATAACTGTAATATTTGTAAAATTCGCCATCATACTTTGTTGCATAGGCCTACTTCTCCTCCTCAATCATCTGGGATTGGTTCTCCTCTAGTGTTGGTTCTCCTCTATCGTCTAGGTCTTCGAATCCTATAACGACAAATGTTGTCAATCCTCCACAAGTAGATGGCAATGTGGCATCAAATTCTACTGGCACTAGTCCTAGAGTATTAAATAGTCAGGTGTTTCATACCTCCCAAACTTCCAACTTATGCCACTTCCAAGAAAAATTGTTCAATTCGCATCGATTATCTCTTAGATTCGTCTTTATTTGTTGATGCCATTGCTTTCGTTCTTCCAAAAATATCTGGAAATCTTCCCTCAGTGCCACTTAGTTGTACTCTTACTTATTGCTTGCCCAATCTTCCTTTAGCCGATGCCCACCTCTTCAATTGTAGACCTGTAGATTTGTTGTTAGGGGCAGATTTGTATCCACAGATCTTGAAGGAAGAGACGCATCGAAGTGTTTTGTGTTCCCTCTTAGCCCAAAACACGATATTCGGCTGGATTCTGACTGGTCCTATGCCTTCGTCCTCAGTCCAGGTCTTTAGGACTGCGTTGGATTTTGCTGAGGATGAATCTCGCCACAGAACACTACTCCGACTTTGGAGACTTACATATGTTCCCAAATTGAAGCATCCTTCGCCGTCGGACATGTTCTGTGAGGGGAATTATCGTCGTTGCGTCCGATCAAAATTCATCTAATTTTCGTAAATCTCGCTTACCTAGATTTCGTTGCTAGATCAGTCTTTCCTTGCTTTCGAACAGTTCACTCCTCCTCAAAGATCTCAGTCTCTATCGCTGTAATAGATTGAACGTCAAGCATTTATCGTGGCGTTTTCTTGCCAATTTGTTTGGCTTCTTGCAGAATTCGTTCACGTGATTTCCCTTCATGATGGAAATATATATATATATATATATATATATTTCGTAGCCTTTGTATCGAATATTTGGTTCTCTATAATTGTATTTCGTTGGTTATCCATCGTCTCCGTACTCTAGTTATGTCTGCCTTTCCTCGGGGAAAAACTTACTCGAGCCCTTTGATATGAAGTTGTTTACGAATTCAGCGTGTCGTATCGTCAAAGGTTTGTATATGTCTTCGTCTGCTTTTCAATTAAAGCAGTTTCTTAGAAGTCATTCCTTCATTTTGACATCTCTTTCTCATTTTGGGTTGTCGCGTTTGTTATATGACAGAATTTGTTTACTTTCTTACTTGCTTAACTTCTGGATCCCTTTCGATACTGTTCAACTTACATCGGGCCATCTATCTAGTCGTTCTTCCTCGTTCGCCACAGTATCCAATAATAGTCGATGTCCTTCTAAGCCTTATCAATAGACTTCTCTAGTTAAAATTTGTAATATTTACTTCAATTCCACAATAGAAAAAAATCTAAATTTTCTTAGCTAATATACAATTTCAATAACTCGTTGTGCTCTGTCATGAGCAATCACTTAGGTCCAACAAGGAATTGTTCGTCGACCAGAGACTAAATTAGTTGTAAATAGTAAAGAATAACTTCATCGTACATTCTTTTTGTCAAAATAGTTGAAAAATAATTAATCTCAAATTGAATTATATCCACTCCTGCTCAATAAAACTGAACTACTATACCTATCGATGCATTTAATTCACAATGCAATTACTAACCCTATTTTAAGTCGCGCACTAATCTAATATCGGTTGCCACGCAGCTAGCGCAGCAAGGTGGGCGGCAATGTTTATACATTGTTTTCCCTTCTACAGCATTACAATTAATCAGTTTAATTGGCCGCTCTTTGGAGCCCAATGGGGAAATCTTCTCTGCATATCTTCCAGGATCCTCATTCACCTAGTTCGGATTGTAGGGGAGAGTTTCGCTCTCTTCTACTATATCTCCTGGAAGCAACATTCGCTTAGTTCGGATGCAGAGTGGCGCTTTCCAATGCTGTGGTCGTAGTTGTTGATCACGGCCTTGCTGTAGCTTTCTTGTCCATCGCAACATCACTTGCGTTCGTAGAGTAAACACTTGCTTTCTAACTCTCGTTGAATAAACATCTCTCGCAACCCACTCACTTTACAATCAAGATTGAAACACATGTCCATAATTTTTTAATAATAAGTCTCTTAGATATTATAAAAGTGGTAAAAGAATGGATACATAATGGAAAATAATATATATGATTAAAACCAGTGAGCGGAGCAGTATAGTCGGACGGGGCCGACCATATGATACCCTACACAACATCCACGGAAATGTTACTTTGTGTGGTTCTTTATTCTGAGCTTGGGCAATATTTCGCGATATTTGGATTTACTAATATCCAGTACAGCCCTTCTAATTACTCGTCCAGATTCCCTTCACCATGTGTTGTTTTGTGATGTACGGGGCCTACAGATCGACTCAAAAAAAAAAACACAACAAAATTACAAAAATTCCACTGCTACCCATTACTATTATCTGATCATCACCGAAAATTATAGGCGTTATCCTTGACCACACCTGGACCCTCATGGAAAATTTCAAAGCGATCCGCGCTATATTTCCGCCTCTAGTGAGGTAATGTGTTACTAAATAATATGTAAGTACGTAAGCAACTGTAAATATTTAAGTGCAACTCCCACATCCGAGTACATACTACAATGTAATTGGTATCAATTTAAAGGCCATCCACTCCTCTTACATATGCTATCAACTTCTCGGTTCTATGTCCTTCAGGAGTAAATATATAGGCCATAGAATACATTTTTTTTCATTTTTCACACAAAAGTCAGGGTCCATTTGACCCGCTAAATATTGACCGATCTTTACCAAAACAGGCATGCATATTCTTTGGCCCGATCTTCTTCTCCATGTAAAAATTCGCGATGTTTGGGCCATAATTGCGGCCTCTAGAGCGACCAGAAAAACCGACAAAAATAAAGTTTTTTGTCCATTTCATCCTCTAAATATTAACCGATCTTTACCAAAAACAATAGGGGTCTTCATTGACCAGAACCCATTCTACATGCAAAATTTCACGAAGATTGGTCCATAACTGTGGCCTGTATCGTGTTTACAAATTATAATGGACAGACGGACGGAGGACAAACATGTCTAGATCGGCTCAGCTAGTCGAGATATGACGATCGGTATACTTAAAGGTGGGTCTAGGACCAATATTTCGCGGCGTTACATACTCTTGGGGCTACACAAAGCTATAATACCCTGACAACATAGTTGTGTAGGGTATAAACATGAGTTGAAATAAATTAAAAAAATGATTGAACTACAATAAAAAAAGGTTTCTATTACAATTGTTAACAAAAAGAACGAGTAGTAAATCAAATAAATTGAATGTATGATCAAACCCAACTTTTTCAATTATTAAAAATGTTGTAGAAGCCGTTTTTTGAAATTACTTATATTGTTGATGCATTGCAAATCGGATGGTAAATGTAAAATTTTCTCTCAGAAACCAGGCTCTTTCGACGAAAGGGTATAATTATTCTTCCCCTATGTGATCTTGCAAATGTAATACGTTGGTTTTCGTTTGAGAATAGTTTTATGAAGGAGTTGTAGAGATTTGATTTTAAGAAGTGAGTCGAAATTTACTCCATACAGGGATTTAGAATACTGTGAGACATTTTGTCTGTTACTTAGGGCATACAAGTAGTATCGTGTTATGCTATTAAATGCGACATTCAATTTGTGACGACAGAGAGAATCACAATTGTCAAACAGCTCACACCCATACAATGAGCTTGGAACTAGGAAGGTTTTGGCCAGCAGACAGCGAATATTTGGAGGTGTGTATGAATGTGTTAGCCACAGAGCCCTTAATTTTGAGTAGGCTTGTCCTACGACAGCATTGATATGGTTGTTCCAGCTTAATGATTTGTTGAAAATTACTCCAAGATTTTTGGCGCTGGATACCAGCTCGATTTTTTCATTGTTGACAAGAATGTCAATATGCTGCAATGATATTTTTCTGTTTTTGTGAATGATCAAGCATTTTGATTTAAGCGGATTCAATAATAGGCCATTAGCTTTAGCCCACTCGCATAATCTAGAGAGATCCTGATTAAGAATTTCTACACACTGATTTATATTGTTTAGGGAGCTACTCAAAAATACTTGCACATCATCTGCGTACATGTGTGCTTGACTATGGTGAAGTTGATCAGCAAAATCGTTCGCGTATAAAAAGAAGAGGAGCTGACCTATGATGGATGCTTGGGGGACTCCAGTTTTACAGCCAAAGGTTTAGAGATCAAGGTTCCAGTGTAAGCTGACTGAGATCTATTTGAAAGATAGGACGAAATTAGTTTTGTGGAAGTTGTGGAAAAATTAAAAAAAAAACGACGAAGTTTGAAGCACAAGTTTTGATGGTCGACGGTGTCAAATGCTTTTGAGTGATCTAGCAAAACAAGAAAACATATCTTATTTTCGTCAATCTCGCACCTTATAGACTCTGAAACTTCTATTAGAGCAGTGGTGCAACTGTCAAGATAGACCAAATGTCATAGGAAGAATTTTCCGCGAAAAAAACGAATACACTAGAATTTTGGTTACAAAATAAATAACAAGACTCGTAAACCGCAAATAGGTTGTTGAAGGAAAGATTATGAGAAAAAATCTAAAAAGTGGAGAAGAGGAAATGGCGGGCTTGGGTTTCCCTTAGAATATGAACCACCAAAAATTTATTTTTTTCAACATTGATTAAAAATAAAAAATGACATATGAAGAAATGTTGTTCAGTATATCCAGGGTTTACTATAATCGTGTTCGACTGTAGTAAGCATGGTTTTATCTCACTTGTATAGATTAATAACATTAAAGAGTAAAAATGGGTACTGAATTAATTGTTATTAATGCATTCTGCAAAAACATACAACATTATTCCTTTAAAAATCTGATCGCGGGTTGAAATTTTTTTAACACACTAACCTAATAGTTTTCAACCGATTGTTGTGCTTAAGAAAGCTAATGAAATTATCCGAGAAAGGATTAGCTTTGTTCGTTATATGTGTAGTTGCTTATAACCGTTGTTCGTTATATCCGGTTTCTACTGTGGAAATCTGCGTTTTCTCTTTTAATTTTTGCCTCAAAAACAGGACTATAAGTATGCGAAAAGTACTTAAATGAACTAAATTTAGTACAATTTCGTAGCATGATAAAAACTTGAAATTTGGAATGCGAATAAGGGTTGAGATGTAGGGTCTATTTAAGAAATGGTTTTGAATGCATGAACTCATGTATACGAAAAGTACTATATGGTACTATATTTGGTACAAATTAAATTTGGAGATACAAATCGAGCTGGAATCGTGAAATTTGAAATTAACATTACCGTCGGAGTGTAGGATTGGGATATGAACGTAGTTTTGGTACTTTGTTACTTATCTGTACGAAAAGTACTAAATCGTACTATAATCGGTACAGTTTGGATTTGGGTGAACAATGAAATTTGGAGTCAGGATCACTGTAGGGGTGTGCGATTGGGGTCAGGTTTCAGTTTAAGAAATTAATACTTATGAGTACTAAATTTGGTACAATTTGAATTTTAGGTGAACCAATAGAGCACAATAGAGCTAGAATCATAAAATTTGGAGTCAGGATCACTGTTGAGGTGTAAGATTGAGGTATGTAAAAGTTTTAAAAAATTTTACTAATGTAGACTAAATTTGGTACAATTTGAATTGTGACTGAACCGATAGAGTTGGAATCCTGAAACTTGGATTTGGGATCACTACGGGGGTGTATGGTTGGGGCATGTAAGAAGTTTTAGAAATGTTTACTAAGTGTACTAAATTGGTTACAATCTAAATTGTGGGTGAAGCGATAGAGTTGGAATCCTGAAAATTTTATTTAGGATCACTGTGAAGGTATAGGATTTGGGTATGTAGGATGGTTTGAAAATTGGTACTACTATGTACTAAATTTAGTACAATTTGAATTGTAGGTGAAGCGATAGAGTTGGAATGCTGTGTAGTTGTTTGCCTATAATATTCTCAAACAGATAAAACAGTTACTGGCGGGAATATCATAAGTACTTATTGTATTCTGTTGATCATTAGAAATGTATTGTGAAGTCAGTTGTAGGTAAACAGAGGCAAACATTGATGTTTTGTTTTGTATGCACTTAATGCCACACATATAAAAATTGCATATTTAACAGTTGTATGTTGTGCAAACTCCTATTTATTATTAAATATAAAGTCAGGTACCTTAGGTAAAAAATCAGTTCTTTAAACGCAAACTCTAATTATAAGCACCTTTTGATAAAAAATAACATTTGTACAGGTTTTATTGTCTCTAAAATTATAAACAATATTTCGATAATTCCAAAACATATTTAACATTATTCTCTTTTGCTATTTATCTTGTATTTACCAAAATGTTCATTTTTTAATATTGTTAACATTTTAATATAATTATAATAAAAGGGCACGTGCCACAGTTGATACTTTTTAATCGCTGCTTGTCTCACTAGATTATCGATTGCACCACCAATATTGCGAATATATTTGTTGTACAACGAGTATCTGAGGGTACGAACAAGTAAATCATAACAAAATTCAAAATATGTTTGGAACTGTTTATCTTTTGACGAGTAGAGAGAGTTCATCAATACAGAGCATAACAGAACTGTTATACTCGTTCTCTCATGTGCACCAGTAGTAACAGATAAGTTTTTGGTGTATTTGGTTTTACAATACTTTGCACGTCTTTAATGCAGTTTTCTGTGAAAATAAAGTAATATGTTGATACATGTTTAAATATTACCCACATTCGCTAACGAAGTAGCGGGCATAAGCTAGTTTAATATATTTTTTCGACGCGAACGACAAAATTAGCACCTCGCACTAATTTTTTGTTAACCAAATAAGACTCCTATTGTTTTTGGTAATGATCGATTAATATTTATGGCAACAATATCACAAAATATTACAAAGGAATAGAATGACAAAATTTGAATCTTACGGGGTAAATGTTCATTCTAGGAAAACATGATTCGCCCCGTCCGACTATACTGTACCGCTCACTGGTTTTTATATATTTTATTGGAAACGGATAAATAAAAATTAAGAAAAAATAGAAGTTTATAATGTTAATAAGTATAATTTCATGTAATTATATAATTAAAGTAATCTCATTTTAAAATTTCTGTAACATGTGCGTGACGGATAAAAATTGTTTCGGAGCTCTGATCTGTATTTAAAACAGTGTTCGCAAAAAAAAAAAAACACAAACACTAAAAATTTTTTGGCGTTAGTGTTCCGGTACACAAACAATAAAAATATTTTTAGTCTTACTATACCGGAGTACAACGAAATTCGTAGTGTTCCACATTTTGATACACTAACAACGTTGGGTACCGCAGTCGGAACACTCAAAATCGTAGTGTACCGCTGTCGGTGTACTAAAAATCGTAGTGTACCGTTGTCCGAGCACTAAAGATCGTAAGGTTCCACTGGCCGGAACGATAAAAATCGTAGTGTTCCTCTGGCCGGAACATTAAAAATCGTAGTGTTCCACTTATCGGAAAACTAAAAATCGTCTAGACTTGGTAAAGATAACAGGTTGTGTAAAATTTGGTTCAAATGGGGCATTCTATTCGCCTAATATTGAACTTATAAATATTGAATATGTTGACCATTTGTGTGGGAGGTACCACACAATGGGTTGTGCAAAGTTTCGTTCAAATCGGACATCCATTCGCTGATATTGGATTTATAAATATTGAAATTTTCGACCCCTTTGTGGGAGAGGTACCAGAGGGAGTGGGCCAATGGCTCCCATCTTCAAACTTGATTTATTCTTGGTTATGATAATAGGTTGCGCAAAGTTTGGTTCAAATTGGACATTCCAATCGCCTGATATTGGATTTATAAATACTGAAAATTTCGATCATTTGAGGGGCAGGTATCAGAAGGAGTGGACCAATGGGTCCCATTTTCAAACTTGATCTGGGCTTGGTAAAGATAATAGGTTGTGCCAAATTTGGTTCAAATCGGGTATTCCATTCGCCCGATATTGAATTCATAAATATTTAAAATGTTGACCATTTGTGGGGGAGGTACCAGAAGGAGTAGACCAATGGGTCCCATATTCAAATCTGATCTAGGCTTGGTAAAGGTAATAGGTTGTGCAAAGTTTGGTTCAAATCGGGCATTCCATTAGCCTGATATTGGATTTATAAATATTGAAAATGTGGACCCTCCGTTGGGACGTACCAGAAGGAGTGGGCCAATGGGTCCCATCTTCAAACTTGATCTAGTTTGGTATAGATAATAGGTTGTACAAAGCTTCGTTAAAATCGGATAGTCTGTTTGAATGTTATTATATAATTAATTTTTAGCACGATTTTGACCATGTTGTGGGGGAGGAAGAAGAAGGAGTAAACCGATAATCCCCATCTTCGAACATAAACTAAGTTTAAGTTTATTAAAAAGTTTTAAGTTTATTAAAAACAATTTCATATATTTATTTAAATTAAAAAATATATATTTACTTAAATTAAACAATAATATATTATTTATTTTAATTCAAATGCTTTGAAAGCTTATTGTAATGAAAACCAGTAAGGAAAACTGTAAAGTCGGACGAGTCCAACTATATGATACCCTTCACTACTTTGGATATATTCAACAGATGTATCTTAACAAACGTCGCATTTTTGAATGACCATAAAATGAAATTATATCCATAAACATGCCATTCTGCAATCCATACTAAATTTTTCATTTCGTCAGATATAGAGAGGAAAATATTATTTAAATCAATTTAAACCTGAAGAGTTTGGTGCACCATTTGCTTAAAATCGGACGAAAATATATATAAAAGCTATATCGAAATCTAAACCGATTTCATCGAAATTTTTTCACAGGTTAGGTTATACTAATTTCAGTATGTTTTGTGTGTATCGGTCGCATTTTGAGTTATTGGTGCATCATTTATCGGGAGAAAATATATATGGGATATATCCAAGTCTAAACCAATTTCAAAACAAAAAAATCCATACGCTAGGTTAATTTAACATCAGTGCGTTGTGCACAATTTTGTGTTTATCGCCCTAACTTTAGGTCTTTGGTGCACCATTTACATAAAATCGGACGAGATTATATATGGGAGCTATATCTGAATCGGAACCGATGTTCACGAAACTTAACACACATCATTCTAGACTAAATTCATTACGCTGTGCCAAATTTTGTGCAAATCCTAAGATATATAGGGTATTTGGTGCACCATTTACATGAAATCGATCGAAAAAAAATATATGTGGGAGCTATATCTACATCTGAACCAATTTTTACGAAACTTAGCACACATCATTCTAGGCTTACTTCAGTACGCTGCGCCAAATTGCGTGCAAATCGAAAGATATATAGGGACTTTCGTGCATTTACCTTCAATCGGACGAAATTATATATGGGAGCTATATCTAAATCTGAACCGATCCCAATTTCAATAGGTTTCGTCCTTGGGCCAAATAAGTGAATCATCCAAATCGGATCAATGTACAGGTCGCATACTTTGTTCACAAAAATACATGGACGGACAGGCGAACGGACAGACGTGCATAAATCGACTCAGAAAGTGATTCTATGCATATTCTCAAAATGAACCATGTGTCTATCCCGTTTCCTTTTGCCTGTTACAAACATATGCACAAAGACATAATACCCTGTACCACAGTATAGTGAAGGGTATAAAAATAAAGTATGAGATCCATTTTAAGCCTTTGGAGGATTAAATCAAATGTGAATTGTCCACAATTTTTATGGAATTTACAACAAACGATTATATATTTTTTTTAAATGAGTTTTATTCAATTTTGATTTCTGTACAAAATGCTCTTATTATTTCAGTGGAATGTGTAATTTCTTTTAAAGTAACTTTGGGTTGTTTCCAATGAAAAACTTCAACAGATTTGTCCGAAACCACATCGTCCAAAATATCCGCATCATTTAACATTCCATAGCAAATCCGTCATCGTCATCACAATGCTGATATTCTAAGAAAAAACGGCTAATAATCTATACAATGTTAGTTTTGCATGCACAGAAAATGTGGTCATTAAACGAAAATGGACTATAGGCGAAGTGGACTAAAGAATAAATAATTTTATGAATTTGAAAAGAAATTGTCAGTAAATAGTACTATTTTCGCTTACATCCGTTTTTGGCCTTTAAGCATAATAAGTATATAAACGAAAAATACTGTAGTATAAATTCGCGTATAGTCCACAATAACTGTATATTTTTCAGAAAATAAAGTTACAGCTGTGTACCCCATTATACAAAATTTGAGATTGCGTTGTGTAAAAATGCGGAGGAGTGTATATATTAAAATCATTATTTTTAAATTTACATTTTTTATGTTCTTCTTACAGATCTTTCAAATTACTTAGTAATAAATTCAAACGAATGCAACAATTGTGGCAGTGGTGTGACAAGTGAGAATAAGGGGAACCAGGATCCGAATTGTGTGGAAGAAAATAATATTGGTGATACTCATATTAAGGAATCGGACAATGAAGTAAATATTACACCAAACAGCTGTCAAAAGCAAGACGAAGAAATAGTGGAAACCCAATTAGAGGGAATCTCACCTCAAGATCAATGTAAACACAATATGACAATTACACAATTTTGTGAAAAAACAGTTTCACCATATGATGACACTAATGAAAACAGTCATTCGAAAGAACCTAAATCATTGAATGTAGCCAACAAAGCATCTAATATTCCTACTACAGGAAATGTGAACGAAATAACTCCATTGGAAACATCCAATTCAAGCGAATCGACGTACGATAATGGGTTATATAAAATTAATCGGGATTTGAATGTTAGTAATGAAGGATGGGAAGACAAGACAAACCACGAAGAAGACAAGAACAATTCGGCAGATAATATTGATGAGAATAGTAAAAACTTTTCAGATATTAAAAATGTTTTCAATAACAATGTTGGAAAAGGAAATACATCTCTATCAGACGAATACAAAGAAAAAGATGCACATTACGTCGAAGTTGATACCGAGATCCAATGTGGATCCTGGAATGGAATAAATAGAAAAAATGTTTTCATTGATAAGAAGATTGAAGGTGCAGAATCAATGGGGTCAATGAATGAAAGTACTAAAAATGAAAATATAAGGAAATGTGATAATAAAGAAGAACCAAACCTAGAGACAAAATCAGAAAATGCAGACGACGTTGAGAGCGGAAATAGCGTGCTATTTGGTGAACATGAGCGTGAAAAAGAAGAAAAAAACGGTAGTATGGATTGCGGCACGTCGACGAAGTCAATAATCAACAAAAACGATTTACGAACAAATAAACTTAATAGACACCCAATGGCCACTATATTACACACTACTGAAGAAATATCATTCACAATAGATTCGCCGATACAAAATGAAATCAAATCATATAATCTTGAAAATCCAATTAATCAAACTAATGTTGATTCCGTTATGTCAAAGGAAGATTCAACGCTACAGAAAACTATTGCGGGAGAAAAAGAACCAACCACCCGAGAACCAGAGTTAATAAATAACGAAAGTTGTCTGCCTAATAAAACGGACGATGTCTTAAATTGTTCCAAAATTGAAGAAAAGCCAGAACATCTTCAAATGACGGAAGTCGAGATAAAAGAAATACAAACTAAAACCCATGAACAATCCCCTGATATTGACAGGGAAATTAATAGTGAGCTTGAAAATCAACATATTAGCGATACGAATAAGGACTTAAACAATTTGAATGTAAATGCAAAAGCGGAAAAAATGTCTGAAACAGAAGATTTCAAACATGAAACACTACGTGTAATTGACAATTTAGGTGGGGAAACAACTAATAATAAGTCACATAAAACAGAACATAGCATGAATGGGGAATTGAAATATAACCCCCACGAAAACCACAATCAAAATTCCCAGAATGAAGCAAATGCAAAAAACGCTAATAAAAGTGCTAACGCTAATAAAAACATCTCAGATTCTGAGGTAACAGACATTGAGCATCAAAGCTCTCTAAACTTCGTGAAGAAAACTCCATATTCAAACCCAACTATATCTGTAATAACTGGGAACTTCGGTAATGCGGAGATAAATGAAAAATCACAAAACGTAAAGGAAATGGAATTAGAACATCAATACACTGAAATATCCCAGAAAACAATTGAATTAGGTAATTCAATTCCTATAGAACAAATAACATCTGATAGTTTGAAGGAACTACCGAATATAGACATTAATATCGAAGAGTCATCAGATATTGAAATGCATCAGCATTTAAATTTCGCTCAACAAGATAACAATTCAGATATCATTGAAGAAACGTGTGTAAAAGAAATAGAATTGACACATCAAATCTCTAACATTTCAAAAGAAACGATTGATTTAGATCAAATAAATCCAACAGAACCAATAAACATAGATATTAATATCGAAGAAACAACAGATACTGAAGTGCATCAGAATGTTAGAGACGATACTACTAACATCATCAAAGAAACTTGTACAAAGGAAATAGCTGATAACCCTGGCTTAGCTAAAGAATCAACAAACAGGGAGGAAAGTGAACTTGAGCAACAAAACTCTCAACCTCCCCAGACAGAAATGGAATTGAAACATCAAAATTTTAAACTTTTCCAAGAAAAGATTGATACATATCAAATAAATCCAACAAAACCAATAAAGTCGGAGTGCTTAAAGGGACTACCGAACATAGATATTAATATCGGAGAAGCACCAGATACTGAAATGCATCAGAATATAATATATGATGCTAGCAACATCGTTGAAAAAACTTGTACAAAAGAAATTGCTGATAATCATGACGTAATTAAAAAATCGGCAAATATGGGAGAAATAGAAATTGAACATCAAAAATCTCAACTTCCCCCAAAACCAATTGAATTATATAATGAATTAGAACGAATAATGTCCGAGGATTTGAAGGAAGATGATAATATTAAAGAAACACCAGACATTAAAATTATTCTGAAATCAACAGACACTGATGAAATAGAGTTGGAAAATCAAACAACCCAAAATTTGAATAAAATGATTGCATTAAATAATTTTAATCCTGTCGAATCAATATCTTCCGAGGATTTGAAAAAGCATCCGAACATAGATATAAGTATTCAAGAAACACCAAATATTGAAATGCATCAGAGTTTAAATTCCACTCAACAAGATGACAATATCAAAAACATCGCAAATAAAAAATTATCAAACATTGATGAACTAGAATTGGATAATGAAACCTCTCAAATTTCAGGAAAAACAACGGTATTAGATAACTTTACTCACGCAATGTCAATAACATCTAAGCATTTGAAAGAACAGCCGAATATGCAAATGACCATCCAAGAAACGCCTGATATTGAAATGCATCAGAGTTTAAATTCCACTGAACAAGATGACAGTATCAACAATATTGAAGAGAGTTTTTCAAAAGAGATTGCCGAAAATCGGGTCGCAAATAAAAAATTATCGAACATTGATGACATAGAATTGGATAATGAAACCTCACATATTTCAGAGACATCAATGAAATTAGATAACTACACTCAAGCAAAGCCAATAACGTCTGAGCATTTGAAAGGACAACCGAATATGGAAATTAACATCGGAGAAATGCATCAGAGTATAAATTCCCCTCAAAAAGATGACAGTATCAAAAACATTGAGGAGAGTTGTTCAAATGTGATTGACGATAATCGGGTCGAAAATAAAAAATTAAGAAACATTGATGATCTACAATTGGATGATGAAACCTCTCAAATTTCAGAGAAAACAATGGAATTAGATAACTCCACTCAAGCAAAGTCAATAACGACTGAGCATTTGAAACAACAACCGAATATGGAAATTAACATCGAAGAAATGCATCAGAGTTTAAATTCTACTCAACAAGATGACAGTATCAAAAACATTGAGGAGAGTTGTTCAAAAGAGATTGCCGATAATCGGGTCGCAAATAAAAAATTGACAAACATTGATGACCCAGAATTGGATAATGGAACCTCTCAAATTTCAGAGAAAACTATGGAATTAGATAGCTCCACTCAAGTGAAAGCAATAACGTCTGAAAATTTGAAAGGACAACCGAATATGGAAATTAACATCGAAGAAATGCATCAGAGTTTAAATTCCACTCAACAAGACGACAGTATCAAAAACATTGAAGAGAGTTGTTCAAATGAGATTGCCGATAATCGGGTCGAAAATAAAAAATTAAGAAACATTGATGATCTACAATTGGATGATGGAACCTCTCAAATTTCAGAGAAAACTATGGAATTAGATAACTCCACTCAAGCAAAGTCAATAACGACTGAGCATTTGAAACAACAACCGAATGTGGAAATTAACATCGAAAAAATGCATCAGAGTTTAAATTCCACTCAACAAGATGACAGTATCAAAAACATTGAAGAGAACTGTTCAAAAGAGATTGCAGACAATCGGGTCACAAATAAAAAATTAACAAAAGTTGATGAACTAGAATTGGATAATGAAACCTCTCAAATTTCCGAGAAAACAATGGAATTAGATAACTCCACACAAGTGAAACCAAGGGATTATAAGCATTTGAAAGAACAGTCGAATATTGAAATTAACAGTGAAGAAATGATTGACACAGAAAAACATCTGAATTTAAATTCGACCCAACAAGATGGTAATACTAAAATCCTAAACGAAATTGCCCCTAGTCAGAAGATAATTAAAAGAACGCCAAATATTGAGGAAATAGAATTAGAAAATCAAACCACTGATCTTTTACAGAAAACGATTGAATTAGATAATTCAATTCCAGCCGAGCCAACAACATCAGAGGATTTAAAAAAACTACCGAATATAGATATTAGTATTGAAAAAACATTAGATACTGAAATGCATGAGAATTTAAATATGACTCGACAAGATTCCACCACCAACATCGTTGGAGAAACTTGTATAAAAGAAATTGCTGATAATGAAGAAGATTTTAAACATTTGACAGGCATGGAGGAAACAGAACTGAAACATCAAAACACTCAACTTTCTCAAAAAACGGATGAATCAGATCCATCGATTCCAGCAGGATCAATAATGTCCGATGATTTGAAGGACTTACCTAATATCAATATGCATATTGCAGAAACAGAAGCTATTGAAATGCACCAGAATTTAAATTCCACTCAAGAAAATGACAATTCTATGGTCATTAAAGAAAAATGTACAAAAGAGATTGCTGAAAATCATATGGTAGTTAAGAGGTTAACAAACATTGATAACCCAGAATTGGAAAATGAAAACCCTGGAATTTTAGAGAAAACAGTGGTATTAGATAACTCCTCTCAAGCAAAATCAGTAATCTCACACCTTTTGAAGGAACAATCGAATATGGAAATTAACGCCGACGAAACCCCAAATACTGAAATGGATCAGAATTTAAAATTTATAGATACTAGAATTGATAATAATTCTCTACCAGAACCTATAACGCCTGAGGATTTAAGGGCATTACCGAACACACATATAAAGACACAAGATAGTGAAGAAATATTTCGGAACTTAAATTTCACTTTACAAGATCACAGCACTGAAATTAAAGAAATTCATGGTAATGCAATAAACAATCAAAACTCTGCAGGACCGACCGAAACCAAAACGGCGTTAACCTATGATAAAGTACGAGATACAGTTTCCGACATTTTGTCCTTAGAATCCAATAACAAACCAGACGAATATGAAAAGGTTAATCCATTGAAAAATGATTTGCTGAACAGGTGTAACTCTTCACCAGAAGCCAATAGCAGTAGTGATGTAAGAGAACAGCATTATGACGATAATATTCACAACGTAAAAGGCAAGTATAAAAAATATTTATATATATTCAGGGCTTACTATATCGTTAGCAGAAAATAATATTTTAACAATTTTTTTTATATGTATAGCAGCTTGAGGCATATTTTTGAGAACCCCAGTTATCAGGAGCGATGCAGATCGCTGAACACAGCTTATTTTGGCCAAGAGTGTTCTTTGAGAACCATTGCTACGTACGGCCACTGTACGATTTTGGGTTGAATCACTAAAATGCTATTAGACCTTTCTTAGTACGCCCCTCGACATACCTTTTCCGTCTTAGATTGTGTTCACAGGTTTAAGGTCATACCACCCAAAGAGGGCAGGCGGAAGTTTGGGATTTTACATTTCATATTTTTCATTTCACTATATATTTTCATTTCATATTTAGGAGTACAGTTTCGGTCTTAATTGTGTTCACCCCCATGTTATGGGATATTTACCGCTTATTAACTGTCATTAGCAAGGTCAACAACAACAACTTTCATGATAACATGGTTGAATTTTACCATAATCTCATTTATCATCAGAAGCCAAAACGAAGTAAAGTACATCTCGGGATGACGGTTACATTTACCTCTTCCATAGACTTCTCAAAACGGCAGCAACAAACGTCCGTGAACTCAATAGTTGTTGGACATGAGTTTTGTTATTCCACACACTTTCTGCTTCTACGTTGTTTGTGTGTTTACTTTTTTATGATAATTTTGTTTGTTGTTGTTTTTAACAGTGCTCGCGAACATTTGTTTTTTGAATTTTTTAAAAGAATGTTCTTCAGCAAGGAATGCTTGCGAATTAATCAATCGACGACGCTTGCAGCGAAGTTTTATCGTTCGTGAATTTTTCGTGCAATGCGAACTTTCGCGAGAGATTGCAAATGCTTGTTCATTCATTGTAACTTTATCGTTGGTGATAAATTGAAAACATTCGAATGCTTGCCGTGGGAAAGAGCGTATTTTAATCATTCTTCGTAGTGGCCTCTACTTTAAGGGAATAGATTGTTGACTGATTGAGAATGGAGTATCCAAAATAAAGTGAAGCTTTGTTGTTGTTGGCTCAATGGTATTGTAGTCGCATAAATTCCCTGCAAGCAATAAAGTTCACGGGAAGAGTTTTACCACGTCCGCGATATTACTTGAGAGGATCTTCTCCATTACCAGAAGAGATGTCAAGCCATAAAATTTGTATTTTGGCAGTGAGAGTCGGATAAGTCTCAGAATAGATCCAAATTCAAAAATCAGCATAAGCAAAAATCAGCATAGGGTAAAACAGATTTTTCCCACTAAAAGTCGTTTTAAAACGAAGAAAACAAAAGGAAAACAAAAAGGAAAGAAATATTCTCAATTTTTTATACAGTGAAATCCGTATATAATATATATATATTTATATTAGGAATATGTAGACGTTGGGACAACATTTTTTCCATAGAAATTTCTTAGTACTTTTTTCATAGAAATTTCCCAATATTTTTTTATAAAGTGTATAAAAGTAACATGAAACTAAATTTGTGGTGTATAGTGTCAAATAATGAATTATTCTACATCAAATTTCACTATAAATCTCACAACAGTAGTCCCAATTCAATAGTTTCTTTCTTTAGAAATTTACACTATAAAATTAACTTTATTCGCAATATATTTCTTGTCGACTTCAGTAAGTGTTAATTAAACACCTTGAAAATTTTCAATAATACTGCATCAAAGGAGTATTCCGCAAAGACAAAATTGTTCCACTAGCCCAAAATGCTTGATGAGCCGAAACGCGTTCAATAATGGTGGGTGTGTAGGATTGCGCTCTGGCTTACCCTTTCATTGCAAAACATTAGTCATTTAACTCAGCTCAAAAGTGAAAGCCCTTATAAAATCATCCAATGATCATCGCCCTAACAGGCAAAAACTTAACAAAAAATTAATTAAGAGATTTAGTGTTTTTTCTAAAAAAAATATAAATAAAAAACAAATGCAATCTTATATATATTTTTTTTAATAAAAGTTCTTTTAATTTCTTTCTCAATTTATTTCACTTTCCGCTAACGATATAACGACCACATATTTGTAGTAATATACATCTTGTTCCTAATTTGTATTTGAAATTCTGAAAATGTAATTCATTTGAATTTCTTATTTCAGATGATAGTCTATCTGTAGGAGAAGAACAAGTAATATTTGGTAAGATTTATTTCCTAAATTCGCTTTTAAAATATTTGTTACTATTAATTAGGAAACGAAATACTCCATTGGCAACAATCCAAGCGAAGCTATTATTGGTAATCTAAATTTGCTAACTGGTAGAAGTAGACATGGTCTCCTAGAAAGATTTTCTGATCAAGTGTTTGCAGAAACTCACTTACGCTCGTTCTGGAATGAATATCAATTGAATAACAATCCGCACTTTGGCGTAGGCTTGAACGAAAATCAGCTTCTTCAAAATAATGTGGAACAAATTGAGAAAGATTTCGAAAATCCAAACATGCTTTTAAATAAGGATAAACGACAAGACGACTCGTCAAGTGACACGAAGAGCAACGCGGAAAATCTTTTAAATTGCAATGCCAAAGAAAGCTCTAAGTGCACTAATCATGTTAGGGAGGAAACTTTAGCCAATAAAAATACATCTGACGACGACTCAGGAGATATGCCAAGTAACAAGGAAATTATTTTAAATCAGAACCCTGTCCCTGCCACTAATATCGAGGAGACCTCTGAGTGCACACAAGTGTGTAAGGAAACGTTACTTTGCGATTCTGCTTCTTATGTTATTGAAAAATCTGGAAATTACGTTCGCTTTAAAAACACCAACCAAGAAAGAATTCCTAGATATTTTAATGGGATTCCATTAACACCAAGTAAAGAAACTTTACTTCCGAAACGTAAGGTGTACAAAGAAGCTACAGCTTTTACAATACCATTCGAACGCCCCAAAGAGAACTTGCGCAAAAAGCAACAACCACAACAATTTGAATGTAATCTATTCAAAAACCCAGAAGACGTGAACTATCCTGTAGAAATTGAATGTTTATTGGAATCAGAATCACCTACAAAATTATTCGATGAACTCGTTCAATTTGAAAACGACATTGACGCTTTCGACATGGGTATATCGCAAACAATCGATGATATCATTCGCTTCAAATCCGAAGAACACGATAATGAACCTAGCCCCAGAAGAGAAAATATGGAAACAGTTTCAAATAAGACAGATACTGTTTTGCACACAATTATTGAACTTACTGAACCAGAATCTTCAAAAGAGAAGGAATGTGGTATTGAAACAGAACCATTTCACGAAATTTGTGTAGTTATTGAAAATTCAGATTGCGTAAAAATGTGTCCAGTGAACAATTTACCGAAGGACGACAACGAAATTAATATGTTTCAAAATGACAATAAAAACATTATTTCCATGACATCGGTGGAATATCTTCCACCCATCAATAATGATGACGAAGCGAACATCCATTCGAAAACAGTCATCGAAAAAATAAACAAAGACATTGCAGCTAGAAAAATACAGGAAGTTTTCAAAAAATTTATGAATGACCGACAAATATCTATGAACACATTGAAGAAAAAAGATATATCGCCAGACATAGTTATGACAAAAGGGCCTGATTTAAGTGAAGTGCAGCAGCACCATGTGAAGGACGATGATACCCATTCAGTGGGCAAAGCTGCTACAGTTATTCAGAGGGCATTCAAATCATATTTACTGCATAAACATGAAAATGCCGGAAAGGATACTTGTGCATCACCCAAGCTATCAAATGGTGCTCTGCGTGATCAAAGTGCTACCAAATCTACTTCAAATGTAAATGCAGAAAATGAAGTCATGTTAATGGAAAACAAATCCATAGATGGAAATATTATCTTACCAAACATTACGATCGATGCATTACAAAATAGTAAATCCATAATAAATGATACTTCTTCAGATGAAGTCACGAACGTGAAAACGGTATCACAGGACATTGATATTCCACACAATGCCAACAAACACGCTGACGGCATCCAAAGAAGGTTCGAGGGGCCTCTAGTAAATCCCCAACCGAAACATGTAGGCGAAAGTGTACATTTTATGAAAAAGAATGACAGCAATCATTCAAAATATAACTCTTCTGAATGTAATGATGCTGCTATTATAATCCAAAAAGCCTTCAGAGCATATATACAAAAATCATATAAAACGCCAGACATGTCTCTTTCAAAGTGGACATATATTCGTGCAGCCCAAATAATTCAGAATGCATTTAGAGCATATATGTCTAGGACCAAAAAAGATGGATATTTACGAAATGATTCCACTTGCAATGAAATTAACATATCGCCCGTAAAAGAACAAGTTGAGACTAATGTTATTGAAACGACCACATTGAATAAATCAGGAGAAAAACTGGATCACTTGCATAAAAATAAACAAATACTTACCAGAGATAGAGCTGCACGAGTAATTCAAAAAAGATTCCGCGAATATAGGCAAATGCAGGGCAACACTAATAATTTCGCAGTCGGAACTTACAGAGGATGTGTACTTAACCAAACCGAAAATAAAGCAGCTGAAACTATTCAAAGAGCATTTCGAAAATATACGAAAAATAACAGGAAACAACTTTATGACAACTGCTCCCAATCCTCAGAAATTTCAACAAAAACGTCTCCGGGAAAACCTATCTGGTATGTTGGCAATGAAGTTATTGATGCAATGACTCCTTCAGAAACTTCTTTCGAAGAGACCGAGGCTTATGTAGAGCTTACAGATAATCCACCGTATTTAGTTGGCAATGCAAGTAGAACTAGTTCGGAATCGGAAAATGCTGTAGATACTAATACAATGGCCACAGCACAAATTAACATATATAACGACAATGAAATCCAGAATAATCTACAATACTCTAATGCGATTAAAGAAAATATTTCAGATGTGAGTCTTAGAGATCCTTTGATGAAAGCAACTGCTGCCAATCAGGTTGAAAAGGAAGAATATCTTGGTGAAACACCTAAGCGTGAAAAAAATTGCAGGGGTATGTATATATTTTATGTCCAAGTTCTATATGAAAGTATTTTGAATCAATTAATGAACAAAACACGCTTACGAATCACACAAAGCCATAAAAAGTAAGAATAGCGTAATCAATATACAGTAGTTTTCGCTTATTGTCCACAACTATAGTTGCAGAATTTTTGTGGACTATAAGCGAATCCGAATTTCGTTTTAAGCCCTTTAATGGACTATAACTGAATCCTGATATAATACACGTCATGAACTATACACAACATATGTAGTTTTTTAAACAAAATTAAAGTTTGTTAAAAACGAATGTATATATTTATTTAAATTAAATCAATATGAAGTTTAAACAATAATGTAATATTTATTTTAATTCAAATGCTATTGTAATGAAATAAAAATGAAGTATGAGACCCATTTTAAGCATTTGGAGGATTAAAACAAATGTGAATTGTTCACAAGTTTTAAAAGAATTATGTAATCTTCGTACGCTTCTTTTTTATGGAATTTAAAACAAACGATTCTAATTTTTCAAAAAATGTGTTTTGTTTAATTTTGTTTTCTGCACAAAATGTTCTTATTATTTCAATGGAAACTTCAACAGTGGATTCCTCATCATGAATATTATTATGACATTCTTAAAAAAATTTGTCCGAAACCAAATTGTCAGTTCGTCATCACAATGCTGATATTCTAAGGAAAAGGCCAGTCACCAACGCATTCTGGCCACGAATGTCATTAAACCATATAATAAGCGCCTTTTCAGTATCAGGGTGATCGCCTTTGAAGCAGGGTGGTCGAATTTGAAGCATTTTTAATTTTAGAACTATTTTTTATTATTTTATGAACTGTCGATTTGTCAACTTTGTATTTTTCGCTCAATTGTCCACATTTCAATAATAATTTAATAATTTCAAGTTTTTCTTCATACTTTATATAAAGCGTCTACAATACTCATACTTTATATAAAGCGTCTACAATTTTCGCTACTTCTATGAATTTAGCAATTTTTTAGATTTGTAAATGTTACTAGAAATCAAAATGCCATTGCAGTTTAAAATATATAAAAAACAGAGTGGACTATATGACATTTTTTCAGTGCAATATTAGTTTTGCATGCACAGAAAATGTGGCCTTTAAACGAAAACGGACTATAGGCGAAGTGGACTAAAGAACTAATAATTCGTATGAATTTTCGCTTATGCGTTTTCGCTTATATCCGTTGTTTGGCCTTTAAGCGTAATGGACTATAAGCGAAAAGTACTGTATTTGCTTTAGCGTGGTGTAGTTTAAACAGTTGGGAGCGAAATTAAATTGAAATTTGTCAAACGTTTACTAGAGGTACTAGAAGCATAAAGTAGGACAAACTACAATAGATGGCTTTAACACTGCTGCAATATGGCCCAAAGGCAGGTTTTTATGAAATAACATTTTTCTTAAAATCAGCAAAAATCCCGCAAAATTATTTTGAAGGAAAGGATGGACCGAATTGGCTCAAAATTACTTTTAGTTGTCTGTTATTGTAGTGGAAAGGTTTTAAAGAAGGAACATCTTTAAAAAAATCCGTGAAAATTTTTCAAAATATATGTTTAAGGATACTTGCATTTCCACACATTTTCTTCGAAGTTTTATGATTTCGTCACTTCGTAGTTCTTTTTGGGCATGTTTTAGTCGAAATTGTCAGCGTATAATTTCTTTAAGTTAATGTCAATTATGTAAAATTCGCAAAATAGGTTCATTTTCTACAATCAATTAGATTGTCATGATATACGACAATAACTTTTTATTTCAATAGAGAAAAATTTAATAATATGAAACCGAAAAGTAATAACTATATGTAAGATACGCATATTTATCGCGATCACTATTTCCACACGTTTTCCATTAAATCAAGATTATTTACTTTGTTTCCGATTTCTTCGGTTGTTTGTAATTAGAGGGAAGATTTTACAAAATAAAATGTTGTGAAATGCATGAAGAAAGTCGTGAAGTTGGAATAATTGAACGTTTGGTTAGTTATACCGTTTATAACTCAAGAACGTCTGCACCGATTTTAAAGGAAAATATGCAAACAAATCGTGAGAGTCCGCGATAACAATGTCATATTTACATTTTTCCAATTTTAGGTTTGAATAATTTATTGTTTTAAGGATATATGATCTCATGAGATAAGAGTAGTTAAATAAAAACTTCTAGCTTAAGGATTTTTTTATCTTCTTTTACTAATAATTCGATCATTTCCAATCGCTGAATATTCCCATCAGATATTGGAATTTTTTTCTTATATACAACTCAAACGGTTGGATATCAAATACAAATCAATGTCGACAATCTAGCAACCTACTAATAAATTGTTAAAAAATTCAATGAACTTATATCTGAGCAGAATCCATATATTCGTGAATTTCCTTCATACATATGCACTATGTTTTTTTACGTTTATTTTGGCCAATACCAATTTTCATATGATTTGGGGCACTATTTCATATAGCCGATCTGGCCGATTTGTCCCGACTTTTTTGTTTTTATAGCTATTGAAGTGAAACTTGGTTTGTATACATTTGTTATGCTCCCAAGATGACCTACCAATTTTCATATGATTTGGGGCACTATTTCATATAACAGCATATAGCAAAATGTATGTTCCTTACTTCGGCTATATTTCCATTACTGACTGCTTTATTCAAAACAAAGGTCATGTCTCTGTCGTTGGATATTTTGGCTGAAACCTTAGCAGCATGAACTACCATCGGCGTTGCATGTTTATTTTGTGAAGCAACTTCGGAAGCTAATTTCCTTTTTAGCCTAGGTCCAGCATCTTCATAATTTAATTTTGGGCGACCATTACAATAATTATACTTTTGCTAAGCCATTTTGAATGTTTAGTTTTGAATCGCTTTAATTTACGGTTGAACTTTGGCAGATGCCTTTTTATATAATTAACAAAATCTTTAACTTGTTTTGGTATCAAACGCATTTGATCTTCATTTTAACTGATATTATTGATATTCTGTAGCACATATTTCACAAGTGCATCTTCTGAGCGATTGTTGCTGCTCCAAATTTCAATAAGCGCTGCATGGGCAAACACATGTTTATCATTAAAAAAACACGTGTTGGCACAAAATAGAACAAAAAAGGATAGTTACTCATTAATTAACACACTTTTGTTAATAACATGGCATTTACACCTTTTTGCAATGCTTTGCCATTCACAAGTTACACTCCACGGAACAAAACTACAATTTATAGTTTTTTTTTATAAAGTTATACATAAACAAAACATTTCACAGTATTACAACAACAGACAAATATGACAAAAAGGACAACTCGTCTTAATTTTACATACCTGCACTAACGTTTTCCATTATTACACATTTTATGGGTTAATCTTGTGTCGTTCGTGAACGACCTAGTTCAATTGAACGAGTCAGACCACTGAACGGGTGAACGACATCGTTCAATGTTGATTATTGTCGTTCACTGAACGATTCTCTTTACAAAACGCCGTCACTGAACGACGTTGGTCATTGAACAACTTTGCTCAATGAACGTCGTCGGTCACTGGACGACGTTGCCCACTGAACGACTTTGCTCAATAAACGTCGTCGGTCACTGAACAACATTAAATTTTACTCTGCACCCTTTGTTTTGTTCACAGGTGCACCGACTTTGACAAACTGAACGGCGTTAATCAAGAAAAATTTCATAGAAAATCTGTTAAATTGAAATATGGTACGTGTAATAAAATGAGCACTCCGGTCTTATTTCATGAAATGCGGAGCTCAAAAGGCCAAATGCAAATACTGCTGTAGCTAGGTATAGTATATAAATTATATAATAAGTATATATAAATTTAAGCAACATTTAAAAGCAAAGCAATGTGCTGCCTTACGAATTGAACTGAGTGATCATTTGAACGATATAAGGCAACTGAACGAGGTGAACGACCTAGTTCACTTTTAAAAAATTACCTAGTTCGTTCGATCACTAAACTGAACGATATTGCCCAAGACTAATATGGGTATCTACATTTAGGAAATCAGTTACATTTCAAAATATGAAAACAAAAAAAAATTGTCTTTATGTCAAAAAATCATACTTTTTACCCATTGTGATATGGAGGGAATTGTATACCACTAAACGATACGACATGTTTTTAATACCAACATTCAACATTTCTACGCCGAAAATAAAATATTGCGAGTTATATACTGATTTCAATATAAAAATCAAAAGGACAGTTAGACATGAACAAAATTTTTTTCTAATTTAGAATCTTTCAATAATGGACAAATTAGAAAATGTCAAAATATTGGGATGTATCAAAACCTGATCTTCAATTCAAAATATATATATATATATTATCCAATTTTATCCTGAAGGCACACAAAATCCAAATTTTATATTCGATCGTTTCAAAATTTTATATTGTAGATAATTTTCAATATTAAATAACTTCGTCAAAAAAAAAAAATGGAAACAAGCTTTACAAGGTAGTTTGAAAATATTTCAGGTCGGAATAAAAATGTTGACTTTTATAATTGGAACTTGAATTTGAAGCTATATTTAAGTACATTTTAACTGCTTCCATTTCCTGTTTATCTAAAAGGTTTGGAAAAAAATAGAAAGAGGACAATTTATGTAGGTTGCAAATGCGTATTTTAGATAAATTATTTAAGGATATATTTCCCCATTTCGAGTTTTGGAAACCCTCCTTTTCATTATTCTACTTTTGAATCTGCAAAATATAGGTCCAACTTTTCCCGAAATTGGTAGAACCAATATAAAATAATATGTATTTTATTAAAATCTTCTAAAATACAACTTTTGCTGTTATTCTATTATTGTCTAACTAATACTTAAAATAATAAAAATTTTAAGTGTAATAATATCTGTAAGTAATTTTCTATTTGTATATGAATACATATATTTAATATTTTGTTGTCTACCATTTATTTTTTATTACAGCCACGCTACGACATGGATCGTGTTGATAAGGTCCTTGCATGG